TCAAAATGTCGTCAATGAAGACGATCACAAACTGATCCAGGTACGGCTGGAAAATCCTGTTCATGTAATCCATGAACACAGCAGGTGCATTGGTGAGACCGAACGGAATCACCAAGTACTCAAAATGACCATATCTCGAGCGAAATGCGGTCTTCGGGACATCCTCCGGCTTCACCCAAATCTGATGGTATCCGGACCGGAGAACAATCTCGGAATACACGCAAGCACCCCTGAGCTAATCCAACAGATCATCAATCCGAGGAAGGGGATACTTGTTCTTAATCGTCACCTTGTTCAACTGCCTGTAGTCGGTGCACAATCGCATTGTCCCGTCCTTCTTCTTCACAAAGATAACCGGTGCTCCCCAAGGAGACACACTTGGTCTAATGAAATCTTTCGCTGAAAGATCCTCAATATGCTTCTTCAGCTCTGCCAACTCCGATGGCGACATCCGGTATGGAGCTAAAGAAATCGGCCGCACACCAGGAAACAGATCAATGGAGAACTCTATCTCCTTATGTGGCGGAAACTCAGGAATCTCCTCAGGAAACACCTCGAGGAATTCCCTCACCATAGGAATGCCAGTGATATCCTCCTGTGTACCACTCACCAAACCTCCCAACATGACATAACCAAATGCCCCTGCTCTCAAGGCTCTCCTAGCCTGCAGCAACGAAATGTACGGAGATGAACTGGCTGTGGAATCACACGGAGACAACACTACCCGCTTGGCACAACAATCAATCATCACACAATTGCTGGACAGCCAATCCATGCACAGAATAACCTCCAAGTTGGCCATCGGCAACCCTGTCAGATCTACCGAGAACTCACGGCCATCCCACTGAAACGCCACATCGCGATGAACAGTGGTAGCATCACATCTTTCTCCGGTGGCGGTGGTCACCCGCAGCGGTGGAGAAAGCACAGACATGGGCAACTCAAGCCCCACAGCAATCGGGGTAGCAACAAAAGAATGCGTAGCCCCAGAGTCAAACAAAACATCAGCAGCTGATGTACAAATCGTAACAGTACCTCTGACAAGGTTCGGAGCTCGATCCGACTGCTGACGATCCAGAGTATAAACTCTCCCAGAAGATGGTGGCAGTGCCGATGTCGAAGTAGGTGGAAGGGGGACCATCTGAAGTGGCACTGCCTGCACTGCAGTAGCCCTCGCCGTCGCCGACGGACAGTCTCTGGAGAAGTGACACTCCTTGCCACACAGAAAGCAAATCAACTGGCCAGTAGAGCACGACCCAAAATGAGTCTTCCCGCATCTCGAACACTTGGGAGTAGGAGGTCTCGCTGCACTCCCCTGAGCAGAAGTCCTCTTGAACTGACTCGGCGCCTGCCGAGCTGCCAACTGTTTGCCTTTACCCTTGTTCCTAAACTTCCTGTCTCGCCAAGAAGTGGAACTACCAGCTGCAACCTTCGTCGCCTCAGCAATCTTGGCCTTACTCGAGCTGTAGAAATCTTCAATATCACGGCACTGCTGAACCAGTGTCCCAAAGTCTCTAGAAGCAGAACCAGCTAGGTAACCAGCAATATCCTCACTAAGTCCCCTGCGGAACTTAGCAGCCAGAAATGTAGGGGTAGGCCTCGCCATCCTGAAATGTGCAAACTTCACCAACTGGTTGAACTTAGCCAGGTACTCGTCCACATACAACGAGCCCTGAACCAATCTGTCACACTCTCCCTGCTGCCTCTCCTGAGCGTCATACGGAAAGTACTGACCCAAGAAGAAATCCTCAAACAAAGGCCACGTCATCACATGACCCTGCATCTCGTAGACATGAGAAAGGTTTATCCACCACTCATGGGCATCGCCCTCCAGCATGTAAGTAGCGAACATCAACTTCTGCGGATTTGTGCACTGCATGACCCGAAATATCTTGTCCAACGCCTGTAGCCAACGCGCCGCAGTAACAGGATCAAAGGATCCATCAAAGGCAGATGGCTTATGCTTACGGAAAGCATTCAGCCGACGATCGATCTCATCTCGATCCTCAACAAAAACAGGGACAGTCTGCATGACCCCCGTAATGTGACTGCCATACCCATCTGACTCTGAGAGTCATCCTGCAGACTGGGTGGAGGTGGTGGCGGAGGAATATGACCAACATCAGGGCCATTCCTCATCTCCTCCAACATGACTCTAAACATCGCCATGTTCGCCAGACGGTTGGCCTCCAACACGTCCTCAGTGGCCTTCCTGTTCGCCTTTCTGACGGCGTCCAGCATGGCCTGGTTTGCCATTCTCATGGCCTCCTGGTCGGCTTGTCGGGCCGCCTGCATCTCAGCCAATGCAGCCAGGACAGGATTGGGCCGATCCTCCGAAGTCTCGCGGTTTCTCCCGGGTCTTACCATGATTCTGCACAAGTTACACAATTTATGAGTTGATCAGGCCCACACAATGTGGTCACATATGCATTATCATAATAATACTCGACGGAGCAAACACACAAAACAGACACAACAAACATCCTAATCATTGCAATACATACATGCTTTTCCCTTGAACCGTTGCTCAGATACCATAAAATGTAACACCCCGTATATATCCGGTAGTGTTATCATTACATCATATTAAGCGGTGCTTAATTAAAAATGCGGAATATTCTTTTTCTTTTCAATTATGACGTCATTATCAATTACCATCTTGATTACTTAATCAATTTCATAAAATATCGCCTGTATGTAAATTGCAATAATACATCTACTGAAATACCTCAATATATAAATAAAGTGTGTATCTAAATCACGGCATTACATCTCGTAATCCGGACAATATCCTGATACATTATTACAACTCCAAAAGACTCAAGACATAAACGAGACATAACAACACTATGTGTCATGGACAATCCCCATGCTCACCAAATAACATAGTCTCAACAAGATAAACATAAATCTCCATAAGAATAAACTGAAGCTATAAGCATATAAGCAGCATGCAAATCCAACATTCAACATGTCAGCATAAATAACAACAAAGTAACTCAGCTCCGGCCTCCTTTCGCCTGAGGTCTCAACATTACCTGACCCTGAAATAAGCATTCCCCAAACGTGGGGTGAGATCTCTAAACAAGAAATCTCAGTAAGACAAGGGGTCCTCAATGATCTTCCACCCCAAGCTCACTTACATGTGCAATATAAGTTCTAAAAGCATTTATATCAATATCAGTTCCAAAACTATGTAGTGCAATAAATATCTATGACATGTGTGTTTATCACTATCTACTGGCCAGAGAAATGTAGGAATACGTCTATCTCCTACATGTAGTACAAGGAACACCGCTTGCACCTCACCCACAGCCTCACCCTATTGTATGTTCCATATACTCAGGCTTACCGTATAGGTGGAACACCTCCATGCATATCAACAAGGGACTAACATACAATAGCTCAACAGCATTTCCAAAACATCAAAAGCATGTAACACAGCATGCATATAACCATACCCCCATGGGACATGGTGGAACCACAACATGGCTAAACCGAGGATACGAAAGCTTACCTCTAAGCTAGCTATCCAATGCCACAAGTTCAAAGTCCAATCACAGCAGATCACAATCTGATATGGACCAAATATAAATCAATAACATGTACCACATGCATACAAATTAAAGACAACGCCTTTTTATTACGTTTTATGTCTTAAAGCTTCTAACAAAGCTACAAGCCCTTAATCACATGATTCTGGCTTAGTCCAATAATTACAGAAGTTCAACTTCATCAATCTAGGGTCCCCAAACCCCCAATAGCCTACTGTACACACAGCACAGCTACTGTTCTACGAAATCCCAGAATATCCGGATATTCCACGAGGACATATCCGGATATGCAATATCCGGATATCTCACTGTCCATATCCGGATATTACATATCCGGATATACAGATTCCCATATCCGGATATCCAATATCCAGATATCCAAAACCCCATATCCGGATATTCCACGGGCAGATATCCGGATATTTCACGACAGAATGCAGCAATTGCATTTCGTGAAGATATCCTTCAAAGGTTGGGTTTTTACCGATTTTAAACACTTAAACATGCATTTCTAGGTGTCTTAAGCATTACCCAACTACAAGTTATCATCTTTTAGGCTTAACATGCATCAAGCTTCCATTTTTAAGCCTTAAAACTCAAGTTAAAGGTTGGTGATCATACCACAACTCAAAAACAGAGGATGGAGATGCTCTTGGAGCTCAACACAGCCCCTCAAGTCTGACTCAAAGATGATGCACGAAAATGTATCACAAGATGACTCTTTTCTTCACAAAGATTGCTCCTTGGAGCAATGACAAGGCAAGAACAAAGCCCCTCAACACTCTAGTCAACAAGACAGCCCTCAAGGTACTCCAAGACAGCCTCCAAACTCAGAAAAATAGCTGGTCACAACCCTCACAAAGCTCACCCTCACCCCAACCAAGTGTTTGCAAGCTCAAAGATGGAAGAAATCAAGTAAAGGTGACACCTTGGTCAAGAAAATGGAGAAGAAACCAAGAGGCACTATTCTGGTCAGTCACTCCTTTCTCCAGCCACGCACAAGGTAGTTATCTAGGGTTGTGTGCCCTTAAAAGCCATATATATAGACACTTACTCATTAAACACGCAGTATTAACTTTAATTGCTACGCTTAGCATTTTAATCCCAAACTTTGGATTCTGAAACTACACATTTTTCCAAGAATTATCATATTTTTATTATATTTTTCTGAGCACCTTTCCGGTACGCGCTCCTCAAAGCCAGTACCGGTTTCTAGCACCAGTTCTGCACATCTCAAATCTGAGAAAGGGAAGAGAAACAAAATTGGTTCACAATGAAATCGCAAATACTCCAAATCCAACCATGAAATCCTCAACCCTTGGGTTGCTTAAAGGACACTTAGCTTAGCATGACTAAGATAAACATAATTCAAAATTAAAAAGAAAAGATGAAGAAGAACAGAAAATTTCAAATTGGATCTCCAAAGAAAATTTGTCAAACGTACAAACTCTCAAACGAAAACTACTGAAAAGTTTTCTAATTTCGCCCTTATAACCCATATCCAAACTGGGTTAGGGCTCCACTAATTTCGGCCCATAGTAATAAAAATAAAACATAAATAAAATTGAAACAATGGCCTTAGGGCTCGTGGGAATTGGGTTCTTAATTACATTTACAGGTCCAAATAATAAAATAAAACTCCAACAATTAATGTCTGACTTGGGCTCTAATTTTGATCATCTTCTTGTCCGAACTGGGCTTTCATGTCTTCATATTATTCGTAGCCCTCTGAGTTATCTGTAAAAAGCGACAAGAATGGGGTCAATCAGACACCTTTAGTTATGGTCAAAATACTGCAGTAATGTAAAGCTGAAAATTAAGGACGAAAATAAATTAAATCCAATAAAAAGTCAAAAATTCAATTTAGCCCAAATGACAATTTTTTACATTCCAAATAATCCTAAAATACTATCAAGAGTAACAAATAAGTGCAATAAAATATCAATTATCAATATGTTGTAGAACTTTTACTAAATTCTGTTTTGTTCTATTAAATAAGTGTTGTAGCAGTTTTGCTTATTAGTCTTGCCTATCTTATTTAGTCAAAAGCATATTAGTTCCTAGCCATTGCAATTATATTAGTGTGTTCATTGAAGTAATTTTTCAAGCTACTTGATTAATAAATGTATGACCATCGAAAGTGAATTACTTCACGATTTAAGGAAGAAAATAAAACTGCACTTGTACTCTATATAAAAAGGTCAGGTACACAAATTTTGTTATTGCATTATTCTAACATTTGGGTAATAGGGACTTGAAGTAAAATAATAGCATTGTTATATTTGTGTGATTTTTAACTAAATTGGAAATAGCAAAATAAATTTGAGGACTATCATTCTAGTTACTTTGGTGTGTCTATTGAACTTATTAGTTCAATATTCTTTAGGCTAATCAAATTTAAAGATCTACTCACAAAAAGTTTTTTGAAAAAGTCAAAACATCTATTGATCTCCCCTCTAGGTGTTCGATAAGCATCCATTATAAGAGGCCACTTGCCCAATAAGTGCAGGACTTGGACGCTTCTTCCAGTCTCTCCAAGCACTCTGAATTCGGATTGCTGAGAAAAATCTGTAACATGATAAAATGATTAAATCATTATGTCTGAGACATAGTTTTAAAAATAGAAATCAGGCTTAAAAATCATTTGTAACATGTATATTAAGGCCATTTGTTTGCCATTTTTTTGGGAGGAGAAAGATGGATTTGGATTCCAGATGTTGTATTAGATTTGCAATATTGATAATTATGAATAGGCTTTGATTAGAGATATAATATAATATCGTTCATGTGTCTTTACCAATAGCTCACTTTTAGGAGAGTTAGTTCATGACATAATATCTTAGTTTCTATGACCGAATCGTTTAGATCAAGTTAGATTCTTACTAATTCTTCTAATAAAAGGTTGAATTTCCGCGAGAAGTAGGTGAGTATCTGTCTTGTGTGAAGGATGTGTGTTAGAAGTATAATATAAAATAATTTATATGTCTTCACCAGCATAAAGGAACGGCACTCTTAATGAAAGGTATATAGTTGATTTTGATTAATATAAGTCATAAAACAGTTTAAGATTATAGTGAAATATAAACCTAAATGCAAGGAAATAGAATGAATGACCTCAGGAGGGGTGCTAGAGCTTGAGGGTTCCGAAAGAATCTCGGGAAAAGGGTTGCGAGTTCTTCAAGGTCTGCAGCACGGAGTGAAAGTGCCTCTACATTTGTTAAGCACTTTACTGTCCTGTTGCTATGCAACCTTTGTCCTGGAAGCCTTACTTTTTTACCATCTGCAAGAGAAACCATATTCATGAACTATATGTTTTTTCTTATTTTGTAGTGTAGCCAAGTTGTTGATTATTGCAACTTCTGCTGACTTCTACTTCAAAATATTTAATAGCCATTTTATCATTGCATCAAGTATTGCTATACCTGTGCTTACAGAAGAATGTTCAAGATACCATGTCAGAAGTTCTTCACCACAAGCATCCCCTTCTGATAAGCGAACCACCTTTCCATTTTCTCCAATACTCTCCAATTTTCCACGCATAACAAAGACAATCTTGTCAACAAGACCACCCCGTGTCAAAATACTACTTTCTTCGACGTATGTCTTTTGTTTTAGTCTCTCACAGATGGCATCTAAGATTGGCACATCCATCAGGGCAAAAATTCGAACAAAAATTCGAACCTGCGATATTTTAGATCCTCAGAAAATTAAGTCATCATTACAGAGATGAACAATATATATGACTGAAATCCACTTAAATATTAATTATTAATTTTTTAAAAACTACTACTAATCATCTATGCCACAAATATTCTAGTGCATACTTTCTTAAGAAATCTGAAGAGATGACATCTTATCTCTGCCCGGAGATATTCTGGCAAATTCTCAAAAAGCATTTCCTCATTCACCCCCCTTGTTGCAGCCCAACTATACCGTTCAGCCTGTCTTACACTCCTGCATGACAGACATAATATCTATCACTTGTACATTATGTGTGATTCATAAGTTCGTGTGACAACCTAAATAAAAAAATCCACTCCCTGTTAAATCCCGAATAGCCAATGTAGAGATGAAGATAATCCTTGTACGCAGCCTTGCCAACACAACCTTGCCCTTGCATATTTGCAAATAAGCATGTTGCAACCATAATAAAAATGAAAAATAGTAGACATACTATTTTCTTAGCATTCAGATCTATATGCTCTATTGTATGATAATGAGTAGCTCCACATATATGTACATTGTCTATATCACTATGGTTATTAGAACTAGGTACGAACTTAATTCATGAGAAGCAGATGATTGTAACGTACACAAATGTAAAAATTTAGAGTGGTCTAGTATAAGAAGAAATAGAGAAGTAAATGTAGCGGACCCAGTTCATACAAGGCCCAAACGCATGCCAAAGCCACCAGCCCATCTCAAGGATTATGTTTAACTGCCTTATTATCTAGGAGTCTTTAATCTATTTTAATAATTCCATGCAATTATCCGTTTGTTAGTTAGTTGTGCTAGGATTTGTTATTATCTTCAGTTTGTTATTTATTCGTCGATTAGATGTTAGCTGGCAATCCTTAAGCCAGAGGCTGTTATTTTGTTTTGTTATTTTGTTTGTTATAAATATCTTGGAAAAAGATCAATGAAGGCATGGAAAGTTGATCACAATTCTTCTCTCTCAAATTCTCTCATCTTGTTTCTATCCTTCCCCAATAAATTGCCCTTCAGTAAATCAATATTATTTACAAAATAAAGCATTCAAATTGACTCAATCAATAAGGAAATTGATACGATTGGTAATAAGAGGGAAAAGATATTCTTCAAGGAATGCAGCATTAGGAGGGAAAGGATATTCTGGAAAGAATATATCAAGTGATTAGAAACCTAGGAGGTGATTAGTTAGTTGAGAGGATAGGCAGACAGGAGGCTATTAATAGTTGTTAGTTTCCCCAACTATATAAGGGCATATACTTTTGGTTAGAATCATCTTTGGACAGAATTTGAGTTAGGCTGAGAGCGCTCGTTTGAAGATAAGTTCCCCTTGCGAAGAGATTTCATCATCTCTTGTATGTTTGTTTGCTTTCCATTAATAAAATTCATTCTTTACAACCCTTTTCTCTATTAATATCTCTACTCCTTTACTACACATTCAACATTCTAGAAATCCAGAGCCATAAGAGAAATGGATTGCAAGACTGCATGCCAATAAGATATTCTCAACAGTTATTCCGCATAAGTTTTAGGATTAAGGATACTACTAATGCACATATATAGTGATTAATCATATTTAATAAACACACCTGCATTGCAGACAGATGCAATGAGAGATTATAAATTATTTTTGTCTCTCTTTTAAAAATGCTCGTGTATTTTGTCAAGAAGTTGCTAATTTAATCGAGTCTCGGTGTTTGAAAAAGTAATTGTCTCATTGTAACAGTGAACTGCTCATGTACATTGTCAAGAAAAGGAGTTGTGAGAGAGGACAGAGTTAACAAGCAACGACTAGAATCAACCAATTGACACAATATTTTGGAAATGTGGATGTGATTTGTGAAAATAAAGAGATCATTCCATACTTTTTTAGATCTTCTGGGAAGCGACAATGGCTCATCCATTGCTCAACATCACGGCGTCTAAGTTGCATTTCTAGCCTCCTGAAGCAGGATAGAAGATAATATATCAAGCATATTATGAACCCAAACACATTAGAACACTATCAAAGTTCAAATAAAACTCACTGCACGAGATAAATTAGATTTTACCAACAAGGACAAAATAATGCCCTAGGCAGTATTGACAAGATATAATACGTAGAGAGGACCGTTGAATAAATAAACTTGATTTAGTTTTTTGGTCCATTGGGCTTAGTATACATTTAGCCCAACATCCATAAATATCCAAGAATTATCTAGCTCAAATTCTAGAATAATCAACTCTAGATGTCTCCATTAAAATATCTAGAGAATAGTTGTATCCAGAAACCACCATCATAAATATCTAGGCTAGGAGATTATAGAAAATTCTAGAGAATAATTTGTAGCGCCCTTAGATGAGAATTGTGTTGGCACAATCCTAACCATTGGTTAAGGAGGTGCCACTAGTATAAATAGGTGTGTCCTCCATCATTTTGTAATAAGCCAAAAAAAGTCAAAAAAGAAAAAAGAGTTGTGTAGCAATAAAAGTGCTCTTTTCCTCCATATCTTTCTATAACCTTTACTTTTCTCAAATATCCTCCTCCCAACAAAGTGGTATCAAGAGCCTTAAGATCCTTTCTAGAGAAATGGCAAGTAGCAACATGGTTCCTTTCCAAGTCCTTATGCTCACCAAGAGCAACTATGATAATTGGAGCATCAAGATGAAGGCCCTCCTTGGATCACAAGATGTGTGGGAAATGGTAGAGAAAGGCTACAATGAGCCACAAGAAGGAGTTACTCTATCCCAAGCTCAAAGGGATAGCTTGAAGGATTCAAGAAAGAGAGACAAGAAAGCTCTCTATCTCATCTATCAAGGATTGGATGAAGATGCTTTTGAGAAGATTTCGGAGGCAGCCACCGCAAAGGAAGCATGGGAGAAGCTACAAACCTCTTGCAAGGGTGCTGAGCCAGTCAAGAAGGTACGTCTCCAAACTCTAAGAAATGAGTTTGAAACTTTACACATGAAAGATGCCGAAAGTATCCCCGATTATTTTTCTAGAGTCTTGACGGTGACTAATCAATTAAAAAGAAATGGTGAAAAGATAGATGATGTAAAAATTATGGAGAAAATTTTGCGATTTTTAGATTCGAAATTCGATCATATTGTCACTGTCATAGAAGAAACAAAAGATTTGGAAGCTATGACAATAAAGCAACTTTTGGGCTCTTTACAAGAATATGAGGAGAAGCAAAAGAAGAAGCAAGGGGTTGGTGAACAATTACTCAAGACACAACTCAACTTCAAAGAAAAGGAAGAAGACTTTGGCAACACAAGAGGACGAGGAGGATATCGTGGTCGAGGAAGAGGTCGTGGACGTGGAAGAGTAGGCTTCAACAACAACTATGCAAATGAAGATCGAAGAGAGAGCTCAACAAGAGGTCGTGGAAGAGGTGGCTCGCAACCAAGACGTGACAAGTCTCAAATCAAGTGCTACAACTGTTAAAGGTTCGACCATTATGCTTATGAATGTAGAACTCCTATAAGAAAAATTGAGGAGAAGGCGAACTATGTGGAGGAAAGGAGTCAAGAAGATGGCACTCTGTTGATGGTACGCAATGACAATGTAGGAGAACAAGAGAATACATGGTATCTAGACATAGAATCAAGCAATCCAGAATCAGAATTCGATATCCAAAATGAATTAGAGTTAGAGAAATCAGAGACTATGGAAGAAGAAGAAGAACATCAAGAAGAAACTGAAGCTGAAGCTGATAATATTGATGATATGGAAGAAGATACAGAAGCTGCTGAGTGGATAAATAAATCTGATTTGATGAAAGAACATGAAGAAAAAAGAGGAGGAGAAGGTGATAGCGAGCGTAGTGGTGATCCTGACGACGTCGAGGATGATGATGAGGAACATGAGGAAGAAGAGGAGAATGAAGCAGTACTAACACTGCCAGAATCAAAGATAGAACCCCAAAGAAATTTTATATTGGATGAAACAATGACAACCAAGTAAAAGCATATAGCAACTAAAGAAATGAAAGTTGAAGGCATATTCTTTAGAAATGTTTATGACTCAGAAGGGCAGACAGTTCAAGATGGAAATGATCAAACTCCTCCATCAAGTCCTACTCCAACAACTTTTGCATCTACACCATCAACAGGAAGAAGCAACAGCAACAAAGAAATTAAACAGAAAGTGAAGCCAAGGAGCAGTAGCAACAAGTCAGGGGGAGTACCAACAAAGAAGACAAACAAAGGAGAAATAATTCCAATAAAAGAAAAAAAAAACTCTCGTTGATGTGCCAGAAAAGCAAAAAAAATAAGATATTTTAGAGAATGAGCAAAGGGAAAAACCAAGGATTACTTGGTCAAATTTAGCAGAGATCGTGTATGTACCGGAGACGCCACAAACACCGATAAAGATTGTTTATCTTCCACCAATCCCAAAGCCACCGGACAAATGTGTTCCACAAAATATGATTGGTTTACAAAATCAAGTTTAAGGGGGGTGTTGAAAAATAAACTTGATTTAGTTTTTTGGTCCATTGAGCTTAGTATACATTTAGCCCAACATCTAGAACTATCCAAGAGTTATCTAGCCCAAATTCTAGAATAATCAACTCTAGATGTCTCCATCAAAATATCTAGAGAATAGTTGTATCTAGAAACCACCATCATAAATATCTAGGCTAGGAGATTATAGAAAATTCTAGAGAATAATTTGTAGCTCTTAGATAAGAATTGTGTGGGCACAATCCTAGCCATTGGTTAAGGAGGTGCCACTAGTATAAATAGGTGTGTCCTCCACTAAAGCATGGACACGCTGATCAAACAAAATTTTGCGTGTCGGACACGTGTCCGACACGGACACGCTCCGACACGCTCGGACACGCGTCCGACACGTGGTCAACATTTGGGGACACGCGGTCAACTCTCCGACACGTTCCGACACGTTTTTTGGACACGCAATCAATTTTTTTGGACACGCAGTCAACGCTAGGACACGCTCAGACACGTTTTTTTTTTTTTTTTAATCTTAATTTTATTTTGTTAACTAAATATAAAAGAAATAATTTATAAATTAATTTTTTTCTGTTATGAAATTTGACATGAAAAATTAACAAAGTACGAAAAATTATTTATATTTATATTTATGTTATGAAATTTAAATATTTGATTGGTTATATGACTTATTATGGACTCTTATATGTCTTAAATATAAATTATATTATATATATTTTTAATTTATTTAATATCAAAACGTGTCCCAACGTGTCCAAATATGACATTTTTTAGAATTAACGTGTCGGCGTGTCGTGTCGTGTCCCGTGTCCCGTGTCCGTGTCCGTGCATCATAGGTGTCCTCCATCATTTTGTAATAAGCCAAAAAAGAAAAAAGAGTTGTGTAGCAATAAAAATGTTCTCTTCCTCCATATCTTTCTATAACCTTTACTTTTCTAAAAAATCCTCCTCCCAACAAGGACTTCTTCCTAGACCGACTTTAAGAATCTCAGTCCAAATTAATGACAATATGAGTAACATATTAGGTATAGTAAACTTAAGAGGCATGGTGATGTCATGGAATTACAACCTATAGTTTGATATAATTACACTTAAAGGATGGCTACCATTCATCCGTCTACATCGTTTTTTGAATTTTCAAATGGCAGGAACTGTAAACAGAAGTTGATTTAAAGGGAAACAGATGATTAAGAGTAACCATTGTTACCAACAATTAAGGGTCACAGCAAGTAAGAGCAATAAGTCCTACCTCCGTCCAAGAGCCTGAAGAAAGTTCTGTATGTTTCCAATGAGAAGCGCAAACAGTAAAAGTCCCGATCCTATGATGGCCATTGTAAAAAGGACTTCCCACACAAATTTGCTCGGGGTTAGATTACCAGCCAGAGTACTGATTTGCTGTATTAAAAGATCACAAGGTTGAAATTGTTAAGAGATTAAAACCATTCGTGTGCCTTTTAATTTTGGTCCAAGTTGGGCCCTGACATGATATTAGAGCATATATGACCATGTGTTCTGAAGTTCAAGCTTTCTCTTCCCCATTCTCCTAAGAAAAATGCTAAATGGTATGAATATTTTTTTTTTTAATTGACTTACAAAACGAGTAAAGTTAAAAAGCTTATTGTGGTTTGTCAATTACCAATTTACCTTTGAAACCTTATTTTTTTGTCTCTTCAAGCATGATTGGTTATAAGACATTCATAACAACTTTCGTACAAAAGTTTTAGTACCAAATAGCATTGTTGTTCTTCTAAGCACAACATAAAGTGGGTATGTGCTTTGTCTACATTCAATCCCAAAGGGGTTGCCAAGTAGTGGGATTTATAGAGGGAGAGATGAACAATTAGAATTGATGATAGGAGAGAGAAGGATTAGTTGTACACTTGAAAAGATTAATATTTTTGGTTAAATTACTCTATGTCCATATAGTTATACTAAAGTTTCAATTAGGTCCCTATAATTAAAAGTTTTTTAATGGAATACGTTTAAAAAGTCTGTTAATGTATGCTTATAGTAATCTACAAGCCCTCCTGTGTTATTGTTAAACATTTCAAGGACTTCTTCATTAAAAATTCATTAAAACTACCTACTGAATAATTTAACCTTAACTGTTTCATAGTAAGAATTAAGGGTTATATACTTCTTCTGTCACTGCAGATGAGAAAAAGTGCAGCAACACTTATTTTTATCAGGATACGCGTCTGAATCCTGATGTGTTTTTTTTTTTTTTTTTAGGTCAGGATACAACCCCGTATCCTAGTGTTAATAATTTGCTGCAATTTTTCTCATCAGCAGCGAATGGAGAAACGACGAACCAAAGAATTAATGGGACGAGTAATTACTAAAATAGGTCTTGTTAATTAAGTTCATTAAGAAAAGATAACATGTTTTCATCCAATAAAAGAAGTGCATGATGGTAAATTGCACATGAAGAGGAAAAGATATAGGACAAACTATACATAATTACTAATGAAGGAACACAAAAAGAAAAGAATGAAATACATACCTGGAAGCCCCAAAAAAGCGCATAAACATATTTGTTGACCACCTTAGTTTCTATAGTAAGTTCTACAGCACTGGCATAGATCCCATAAGGAAAAGCACCGGAGCTGGAATCCAAACAAGCAGTGGCATCTGTGTTGTTGATCCACAGAGCTGATTTCTGGGGAGACGCACGGCCACAATCAATGAATGTCATGCATCCATCAATATTAGACTTAAGGCAGGCATCTCGCAAACATTGATTAACCCTCTGGAAGAAAAAGGAAAAAGTTAGTAAATTGAACGCTAATTAACATTCATTTACTGAATTGAATTCCTGATTCTAATTGAACTGCTCATCTGTAAAACATCCAGAAAACATAATAACTCTGATAGTTGAATTTCTGAGCACACACTACCATATACTACTATCATACTTCATTTTGCCTGTAGTTCTCCTCATTACATATCATCATATAACGTACAACCACATGAAAACCAGAATCATTCAAGTGAATCAAGTAACATTTCTTCAACCAAATTTCTTCTTCAAGAAACCATATGTACAAACCATATAATCATATTATGTTCCATTACATATCTTGCAGGGTACCTTTCCTCCACTTCCGTGCAAGGTGAGAATTTAAAGCAAATTATGTGAGGAAGAAATTTTACATTTTTTGAAAATGAGGTTTCAAATATCATTTTCACTCACCTGTAGACCAAAGAGGTACCAACAAGAACCAACAACATGACCAGACAGCATAAAAATGAGAAGATTCATGATGAAATTTGCCCATGCTGACTCAAATGTTAATCCAGTTGGAGACTGGCCAATTAGTAGAGGCAGAAACCTGAATAATCTGAGCATATACTGTACAAGGATCGATGCGCGCAGAAGATTCTTCGCATGATTTGCTCCTGATGACCCCAAGGAATTTGGTAGGACACACAGTATCATTATCTGCAAATATTTCACTACATATGTCATGACAAGGAGTTTGATGAGTTCATAATAAATCCATAGTCTTTATCACAGATTGAAAACTCATTTCCTTCCCCTGATACCTACTTGTTCTCAAGCACATGTTCATGTCCACCGACTATTTATTCCTCGGAATAACACACTAAAAGGTGCAATAATTTTGTCTCACTTCGAAAGTGAATATAATGAATGATACAGGACAAGAAGCTAGTAATATATATGAAGATAGAAATACGGCAACAAAATCTTTGGAGTTCTTCAACATTATTCTGCCACAGCATGAAAGTTATTATAGACAAAAATCACTTCTCGCCTATAACTAGTAGCTTAAGCTTTTAGGATAATTGGTTCTTAACAAAGTATTAGAGCCTATATGACTAACTGTCAAGACATTGATCCTCAATGCTCCCATTTCCCAATGTGGCATGTCTATGGCTCAAGTAGAAAGACCTATGCATGCAGGAATTGTTCATGCAAGAGTTCACGAGAGAAAAAAAAGTTTATGCGCAACCACCTACCAGCTTTAATTTTCTAAACAATTGGCCCTTGACAACAGTGATTATGAAAGACCTGAAAAAACAGCTTCTCCCAAGGACTCCATATTTATTTAGCACAAGAACATCACAACTAAATAATTGATATTTCAAAAGAAACAAGAGAAGAGAGAGAAACCTCAATTTCATACAAAACCTAATCCCAGTAGGGGGAACTTTTTAACTGAATCTCTATGTTTCAAAAATAATATCCGAGTAAATCCAAACTAATAATCCCAATGACATGGAAACATCAAAGACCTTCATGTTTTCCTATTATATCAAAAATACAAAAACCATTGAAATTTAATGGCAATAAAAAAAGATATTGCATGAAATGACTAGATGTTTTTTCCGTCAAATCTGATTACAGCCAGGAAATAGAGAGAATATATCATTAATTATTCATCTTCAATTGTAAGGCTTCATAAGTCACAATATAAACTTTCTGGTACATAAAAATGGATACAATAAGCAAACTTCGCACCCACCCTCCCAAAAAAACGAAAAGAGAATTTCCAAAAGGAAAAAAGAGAGATGGGAAGAAACTTACCTGAGGAAGAGGTAACACAACAAAAAAGTCCAAACGAAAATAACCGTTCAGATAATGAAGAGCAATTTCCTTACGATTGATAACTAAAATTCGAGTACCAACCACCCTTGACCCTGGAGAAACATAAGCCAACCTAAACTGCAAAGAAGCAACATATATAGTAGTAGAATTATTCAAGCATCAAATTATGAAAAGGCAGCAAACTAGACTTAAAAAACTCAACAACCATATTAAACATTCAGGATATATATATACATAAGTACACAGAGAGATGCAGCAATATACTAACAATAAGGCTATAGTAAAGCAGTCCAGCCTATTTATCATCTGAGTCAATTAATGCATTTCATTTTTACTTTTTCTTCCCGTGTAATCGATATAAGGTAGTTGACACCATATGGCTGTTTGTCAATAAATAATAGATACTCTTCACCAAAAAATAGATAAATAAGCACTCTTAGAATTGTGCACAAGATGAAAAAAAACTCCTAGAATAAGTGTTTAAAAGGAGTGGTTGGTGTGAAAATAGAGATGGGTTACTCAACAAGATTCAGACATACATACAGAATGGGATACTGAAATTTTATTTAAATAATAAAAAGCACAGACTTTGAGTTGGCTTATATTAAGTGGGAAGATAAAGTTATTGAAAATATTCAAGTGAGTGCTGTGAAGTCTCACGCTGGTTAGACATAGACCAAACGAGGATTATATAAGTATGAAAGATCCACGAACCTTTAGCCTTGAGGTTTTGGATTACAATATGGTGTCAACTCACTTATGAATTTGATCCATTAGAGTAAGATATCTCTTACAAAGGGTTTTGGGCTTCTCAATACCATTTTAGCAATGATTAATAATTGAAGTGGTGTTCAGTTGTTTGATGATTGAACTGGTAATGTGTTAATTGTTATATGGTGACTTATTTTTGCTTAAGGACAAGCAAGAACTTGAGTTTGGGAGTGTGATAAGTCTCCGAAAAGAGATTCTAGAGATAATTGGATCAACTAATTTTATGTGCATTGGGAAGCTTATGATCCAACAATAATGTTTAAAAATTAACATTTGTGTTTGGTTAATTGAAAATTGTTGAAGAAGCAACTTGATAATCTTTTCATCCCATTAAATATTGAGGGGAGGGGAAACAAAAATCCAATTTGTTTCTTATTATTTCCATCAACACTTGTTTCTGCTTCCTTTATTTAACTGCATTTTCATTTCTCTGTTTTAGACGTTACAAAAAAATTTAAGTTTGAAAAGTAAAATATTAAGTTTTATTTAGTTCATTTTCAGCATTACGTAAATTCTGATTTTAAATAGAAAACCTTTTCTAAAACAGTTTCTCTCACACTTAGTTTATATTAGTAGTCTGAATTAATTTTTTTTTTTTTAGTTCTTGGTAGATAAATTACAATTTCTTAGCAAAGTAAACCCGCCATGATCCCTCTGGGACGATATTAGGGTCTTAATACCCCATTTACTGCTTGTTGTCGTGTAGACTTGCACGCCATACTTGTGTAATTGTTAGCAAGGCAACAAGTTTTTAGCACCATTGTCGGGGATCGAAAGTGTACAGTGTCAGATTGCTTAAATTTTCTTTGTGATTGTTGTTTTGTTTGTATTTCCTGAGTAGTATATGTTTTATGTGCCTGTGTTTCTGTCTTGATTTTATTGTTGGTTGAGTGTATGTTATAATTACAGTTTGTTATTCTTCTTAGTATTTTGAATTTTTATGTATACTCTCTTGTAGTTGAAGTTTTGCTTTAAGCTAAAAATTATATTGTTGTTTCTAGTAATCTTATTGTTATTTTTATTTTCTGTTTTTATATGTTAAGTTTGAACGTTGCACTAGCCTACGATTTGATGCTAGAGAACACCTTTTTTAGAAAAGGGAGTCACATCTTATCACTTATTATAGTGACCAAAATCGTAGTCAAATTGATTTCTTCATGGCTATAGAAGAGAAGATAGAAATTCTTGTGTCGACTGCAAAGTCTACCCTGGAGAGTGTGTTGCTACGCAACATAAGCTGATAGTTCTAGAGGTTCGGTTCATCAAAGTACTTAAAATGAGGAAAAGGGCTCAGAATCCAAGGATAAGATGGTCGAAGCTAAAGGAGGAAGAACAATTAGAGTTCAAAGAAAAAATGTTGCATGAAGGACCATGGGAGTTTGTTGGAGGAGCTAATGAAATATTGAATGAGATGGCTATATGTATCCAAAATGTGGGAAAGAGGGTGCTAGGAGAAAGCAAAGGAATTGGATTCCATACAAAGGAAACATGGTGGTGGAATGAAGAGATGCAAGAAGCAATTAAACAGAAAAAAGAATGTTTTAGATCTTTGCATAAAAGTCCAAATGATAATAATTTGCAAAAGTTTAGATTGGCGATAAAAAATGCAAAGAAAACAGTGCGAGAAGCTAGAGGTAAGGTTTTCGTCGATTTGTATAAAAATCTTGGGAGCAAGGGTGGTGAAAAAGGTATATACGTCCTTGCAAAAATGAGGGATAAGAAAAGTGAAGACCTCACCCAAGTTAGATGCATCAAGGATGAAAATCAAAAACTTTTGATAAGAGATGAAGATGTAAATGAAATATGGATGAACTACTTTAACAAGCTTTTTAATGGGGATGGCGATAAAAGCGCAGTGGGCTTGGAGGATGTAACGTCCCGTCTGCAGCTGGTTAATTAACATTCATATGATAGTAGGCGCAGCATGCTCAACTTAATTAATGCGGAAGCTAACTAAATAAATTTTCTCTTTTTCCTTATGTATTGCAAACCTTTTTACTTCCATAAAATAAAACGGACAATATTTTCTCTATATTTTGGACCACTGGGGATAATTTTCAGTATGATAATTTCAACCTGATTGACAGTTTATATAATCCAGGCATACCACAACATAGATAAAACATATTGCCCAGCCATCCATGGCCTAGGCTATCTCATAATCATATTGTCTCAAAATAATGTCTATGATGTTACTGAGGATGCATATGATGATCGAAATAGAAGATTTGTGCGCAGAATCAATACACATGAAGTCAAGGAGGCTTTAAAGAGGATGAAGACTAATAAAGCTTTGGGACCCGATGGCGTACCTATTGAAGTATGGAGAAGCTTATGGGAGGTGGCAATAAATTGGATGACCAATCTTTTCAATAAGATTCTTCAAACAAATAAGATGTCTGATGCTTGGAGGAAGAGTGTGCTTGTGCCTATTTACAATAACAAGGGAGATATCCAGAATTGTTCTAACTATAGAGGCATTAAGCTTATGAGCCATACTATGAAATTGTGGGAGAGAGTAATTGAACATCGTTTGAGGAGAGAGACCAAGGTTTCCGCAAATCAATTTGGATTTATGCCAGGAAGATGTACCACAAAAGCTATTTTCTTGTTGCGTCAATTGATGGAAAGATATCGAGAAAAAAAGAAGGATTTACATATGGTGTTCATAGATCTTGAGAAAGCATATGATAGGGTCCCAAGAAAAGTCTTATGGTGGGTTCTTGAGAAGAAAAAAGTACCCTTAAAGTATATAAATGCAATCAAGGATATGTATGATGGGGCTACTACTTGTGTGAAAGCTTGTAATAGGACATCAAGTTATTTTCCTATTACAGTAGGTGTACACCAAGGTTCGGCTCTGAGTCCTTATCTCTTTGCCTTAGTGATGGATGAACTAACAAAAGACATTCAAGAGGAAGCGCCATGGTGTATGCTTTTCGCTGATAATATTGTGCTTATTGATGAGACCAAAGACGGTGATAATAGGAAACTTGAATTGTGGAGAAACACTTTGGAGTCTAAAGGTTTCACGCTAAGCCGGAGCAAGACTGAGTATATGAAGTCTGAGTTTTCTCTAGTAAGAGATGGAGATCAAGACCCAGTGCATCTACTTGGTCAAGAGGTACCCAAGAAAGATGCTTTTAGATACCTGGGATCAATTTTGCAAAAAGGTGGTGAGATTGATGAAGATGTAAATCATAGAATCAGAGCAGGATGGATGAAATGGCGGAGTGCATCTGGGTTTTTATGTGACTGCAAAATTCCCCTTAAGCTAAAAGAAAAATTCTATAGAACAGCAGTAAGGCCTGCAATGTTATATGGAGCTGAATGTTGGCTAGCATATAGGCAACACGAGCATAAAATGGGAGTAGCAGAAATGAGAATGTTAAGGTGGATGTGTGGTTATACGAGGATGAATAAGATAACAAATGAAGATATTCGACGAAAGGTAGGAGTAGTACCGATAACTGAAAAGATGAAGGAGCATAGATTGAGGTGGTTTGAGCACGTAATGAGACGGCCCCTGGATGCTCCTGTAAGAACAAAAGTTTATTATCAAGAACTCGACACAAAGAGAGGTAGAGGTATAGGTAGACCGAAACTTACCTGGGGAAAGGTAGTTAAACAAGACTTAATGAAGTGGGATATAGATTGGCGGACAGTGTGTCTTAGGACGGAATGGAGAAAAGCTATAAACAGGGTGGAAGGTTAAAACTCATTGTTATTCCTATGTTTCAGATGATCCCTTTTTAGTCCTTTTCTTCTTCAATCCCCCCTCTCTTTCTTTCCCCTTATTGTCTTTTATCTTATTTTCCCCCTCCTCAATTTTTTTTGTTTTTTGTTTTTTGTTTTTTTTTTTTTTTAATATCCTATTATCTATCATTGTGTTTATCTACCACCGACCCCAATTAACTTGGGTTAAAGGTGTTGTTGATGATGATATCTTAAGTTTATTTAGAGTTTTAATTTTTCAGTTGTCTTTGCAAATTTTGTCTGCCGTTTGCAATAGTCAGGTTGTTGGTAAGAGTTTTAATGATACATTAAATTCTGCTACTGTTATTCTTTTATTAGTATTTTTGTTAGTTTCGGTGTTCTTTATGATATTAATTTTAAATTCTTAGAATTGAGTTTTGGTTGTCTTTAATTAGTTTCTATCATGTTTGTTGGGTGTTGTGCTGATATTTGATCTTTGTTCCCATTTGGTTGATTGATACATTGGTTCTATAATTAGTTGTTGTTATTCGTGAGTTGGCATTTCTGTTATTGGTTCTTTTCTTTGTTAAGTTGCAGTTTTGTTTTTGTTTTAATTTCATTTTATGTTTTTTTTTTCAGTTCTGTGTCAG